TTTTATTCCCTCCTCTGTCATCTTACCAAACAAATTACTTTTTAGTAGATATACTGCTATCATTATGTCTATTTAAGATACAGTATGTATTTATGGTTATTATTTTAGTACTTTCATCCCAACCGTTTGTTATTACAGGCCCACTTCTTGTCTTTATCTCATGTATTTTAAGTGTATAAATTTCTGTGAAGCCAAAGACGAATTTACATGTGAGTGGAGATTGTATTCTATGAGTGGCTCTTGCATGAGGCAAATTAGAACACATTTGCAAAACACAATACCTAGTTTATAGTTGTTCACATTAAGGAGTTCTGAGAAGTAGTGAGTCACATAATCGCCCAATCAGTACCCCTAAGTTCTCGAGACCTTTAATAGGCTACATCAAAAATTCTAATACTAAACATTTTGATTCACTGTATATCTGAGTGAGATAGTTACAGTGGTTTGTCCAGAGTGTTGGGAGATTTAGAGGTTTCAATGTAGTCTAGATCAATACAGACTCATTGGGTGGGTCAGCACTGCCCTGCCCCATTTCCAGAAGACAGCGTCCAGATGAAGGAAGCTAATAGCCCGTATCATCTTATCAATCACAGGCAAAACCAGTTCTATGGCACTGCCATTGATTGTCAGTCAGTTACAGGATGAATGGCATCTCTGTAATCATGTGGAAACCAAGCCAGCAGGGTCTGTGTAGTAGAGTAGTGAACTGTCTAGGGGACTGAAAGCTTTATTGGTGAATGTGTATCCTTAATCAATCACAATAAGTATTTCAAAGGACTAGTATAGTAGGATGTATAAAAAACAAAAACCCTCATAAACAACGTTTATTTTGGAAGATGTAATGAGTGTTTCTGTTCTAATTATTCTGAACTATACACAAAGGTGTTCCTATTATTTAGTCTACTATTGGCTTCATTGATTTTTGAAATGGGGCAGAAAAATAGAGTAATAGAAAGATGTATCAGTAAAGGTAAGCTCTTACCATTCCTGTGAAATTAATTTTAAACACTTATTCAAGGTATATCCAAAGTTAATTGAATGCAGTTCTTGAACCATTTGGAATAAATGCATGGTTTTGGGGCTTCTCTGAAAGATAAAACTCTGAAGTGTCTAACCCAAAAGTCAGAATCACTGTTACTTGAATTGCTACTGGAATTGATTAATATAAGTTTAAACACACTAAAAGTAATATATTCTTCGTTTCCCCTTGAAAAAGCTCGCTAACAAATGCCTGCAGATAACTATAGCTGGGACTTATTAGCTGGAAAACACTGTGGGGCCACAGGATAAAGCCTTCCTTAGTCAAATTTTTAATTTTATATCAATACCATGAGAAATTAATATTTTACACATGTTTTTCTAAGGGTACATTTCAGCATTTTTTTTTTTCCAAAAACAGCACTACCCCTTCACGGCAAGGGGCAGCTGCTGCATCAGTCTATGATCACACCATAGACTGACACAGATGTGTTTGTTTGTTAGTAGATCATGAACTTCCTACTTAAAGCTGGATATCGTTATTTCCAGAATTTTATTGGCTACACAAAGTGCCAGTCATTGGCATAATTGGTTGCAATTGGCTAGACCCACCCACTAAGTAGGGGCTGGCCCTTCCGTACAGCGCGGGCTCTCGTTGGCTGTTGTAGGCTGTGTATGGGACATGTAAGCTCCTATTGGGTCGAATTAGCTGTCAGTCGAAAGGTCAGAGTTCAGCCGCTTATTTTAATACAAGATATCACATTTGTTTACATCCAAATCTGAGTTATTACTGTTATAATGACAAATTAGCTACGTCTGCTGGCAAATATGAAACAATGCCTCTGCAGTCCCTGGGGATTTATTGATGGAACAATGTGTTTTGGACTAAATGTTTTTACTGGATTGGATCATCTGGACCTTTGACAAAGTAACAAGACCATTTTAGTTGGAATTTAATCGATCGATGGATTAAGTTACTATGAGGCTTTCAGTGGCTTTTTGAGTGTTTTAGCTTTAATACGGTGTAGCAGTTATAGGCACATAACAAGAGCTGTCATCAGGACCTGTTAAGAGGTTTTCACATAAAGTTACAAACTGCAGCCAAACAACTGGGTGTAGCTTAAACTTAACGTTAGCTTTCTATGCATTCGACAAGCCTATGATTAAGCTAAAAAGCTAACTTATGACGCATTAAGTTGGATGTTGTGGTGGTCGTGTCGCTGATTTTTGAGCTGCAGACCTTGCACACCGCTGTTCTTTTCTTCCTAACGTCATGACAACATAATCCTTCAATATATGTGTTGTACTAGCATTACACGTAACGGTCTTTTTCATAGTTACGGAGATCCGGACTGCTATGTGAAAGCACACATGGTTGCAGGATTATCCGCAAATGTTGGAATGAGCGAATGCAAGTATTTAATAAAAAAAAAATCAAGTCATTTTCAGGTCATCTGTCTCAAGTCTAAATGAAGTCTCAAGTCATGAACACCAAGTCAAAGTCAAGTAGAGATATTTGTCTGTTTTAGTCAAGCAAGTCTCAAGTCTTCAAATTTGCGACTTGAGTCTGACTAGAGTCAAGTCATGTGACTCGAGTCCCCCACCTCTGCTATCAAGTGTTGATGTAATTAATTCTAAACTGTCTGCTGACCACCCAATCAGTAATGTAAAAAAACTGTAAACATACGAAACGTCCCTTCTTTAGTTGCCATCTGCAACTTTATCCAAAGTGCTTCTTCGGAAATCAGGAAAACTCATAACACTATTAAGTGTATGATTTGCGATGGCAAATGGCTGTCAGTTCCAAATCAATATCTTCCTTCATTCACTGTGCGGTCTGTTGCCAAGATACAACTCAAAAAACAGTAACACCTTATTACAGTGATCTCAGAAGCATTCTGCGTTGAGCCAGCATTTATGAAATCTCTTATTTCAACAGCCAGTGCCTCTCTTTGTCACTTCAAATACACATATAAACAGTTACAGACTGAACGACTAAACTGTAATCACAACTGTCATTATTTTCACCACCCACATGCCCCATCTTAGCCATTCTGTCTCTGTCTGCTGGTTACTGTTTTTCTTGTTTCTGTGTTGCTAATACCTGATCTCATGTCGCATTCTTTGTCACTTATTGTTTTGGATCTGTGAAGTGCTTTGATGTCTGAAGAAAAGGAGCGTGGTATTGTGAGAAAAAAAAGATTTTTTAATTAACTAAGCTGGCCTTTTAACATGTTTATTTTACCTGTCCCTTTTGTACATAAACTGAAACTTAACTGAAACAAATGGCAAAAACTGGTAGAAAACATTTAAACAATAGTGGAAAGTGCTTTCGCTTTTTAATTCTCAGGACCTCAGGGCAGCACATTGTCAGGTCAGACCCGAGTGTCAGTTTGAGCTTCGAAGCTTCGACAGTAATTAACAGCGAATAATTGAAGCTTCAACGGCGGCTTACAGCTGCTTACGCCAACTGTAAGCAGGATGAAATTTCATGAGATACAGCTATGTATTTCATAGATTGAAGCAGAACAGGAGAATTAATGCCCAAGAAGTTCTGGCAATGACATGAGTGAGGGTGAAACCTGACGGGGGAAGAGATAAGGGCGGTCTCTGACTATGTGTGCGTATGTGAGAGAGAGAGCGGCCCGTTTCTTTATTTACACATGTAGGCTGTATAATAACAGCATGTTATTATTACCAAAAGGTTGTGTTTAACTTCTCTCGCGGCTAGGCTATTAGTCCCACGTGCAGGACTAAGAGAGGGAGGAGACTGAAGATAGATAAAAAAGGATATTTATCGTGGTGTTGAAGTGATCGGAAATTGATCCAGGGAAGAGCGAGGCAGACTGGAAGACTAGATGCTGCAGGCCAGGTTGGTGGCTGCTGACAGTGGCGGAAACACATTATTATGTAATATTCGTTTTTACCTTTTTTTTAGAGCCTCCTAAATGTTCTTAAACCCCATAACTGCCCCACTGCCATTGTCATCACTCAGTTTAAAGTGCTCCCACAGAGCTGAAGGCCTCATTTTGTTTTCCCTTTGATGTGAACTGGAGCGTTAAGTTCACCGCTGTGAGGTCAGGCGTGCAAACCCCCCCCCCCCAAAAAAAACAAAATCAATAAAATAATCAATATTCCAATCCCAAAACTGAAAATCGAATGTGTACCCAACGTTCGAATATCTACCTCGTAGACAGACCATCATTGAAAGGATTCATTCTCTGGAGAGCATGCATGTGCTCAGCAAAGAGGACAGGTCACTGTTACTTTGTGATTGTGAAGCAGGGCATTCTTGTAAAAGGAGCATTCATTGTTAGTGAAACTGCGCTAGACAAAGAATTATTAATTAAAAAAAAAAGTGCTTGCACAGTGACCTTAAGCAAAAGTAATTTTTTTCTAAGAATATTATTTCCATATCATGTACTTAAATGAAACATTCTCTGTTGCAATGGTGTGGATTCCACCATAGTCCTGGGCAGAGACAGTCCTGCCTGCATTCTTCCCTTAATCACACTGTAATCTTTAGCCCCATAGGGGCAGGAGACGTGGACTCAGGAGCTCTTCACCTGGTGCTTCAATTTATTTCTTCAGACACGTGGAAAGCGCAGTAGTGCAAGTGTGAATTATCACAAAAATATTTCAAAAACAAACAACAAGGAAACTAAGTACAAACTGATATTAAACAACACCAAAAGAAAAACCCTATATCAGGCCCTGACTATTGAGCTCTAGTACATGTTCTGCCAAGAGGAACCGCTGCCTCCTTCCTTTATACCAGAAGCCCCTCCTACAAGACAAACCAAAGTTAATTGGAAAAATATTTCCAATTATATCCAAAATATTTCTGGCTACATCAATATACAATATATCAACTATAAAACCAGAAATGAAATGTTACATGCTGAACAAAGCTTCTCAAAACAGCAACTTTAGATACTGCAGTACACCCCTCAATACTGGCTCACACTTGGACCATTACAGGTCTTCCCCCCTATAAATTACTCCACACTCCATCACTTCTTGTTTGCCACTTTGACCCAGATGCCTGCTTGAGGATGAGAACAGGTGAATGAAACACACAGTTCATTTCAAGTCATTTATTTTAGCTTATTGGATTTATTTATTTTTTTAAGATCATCCAAATGTTTGTATAAGTGTTGTATTTATCTAATCCTGATTTCAACTCTTTCGACTAGTACTTAAATGAACTGAAATGAAATGACATGAAATGACAAGCCATGTGTCCGTTGATGCTAGCCCATATGCTAAGGTAATGCTAAAAGTCCTATGCTAATGCTCAGCTAAGGTTAGCTTAGCATGCTAAGACCAATGCTACCGCTGGCTTAAATGGGGTAGCCCCATGACACACAATTTGTCATAGTTCAGTACTTCCCACTGTCTTTTCTGTCTGTTTCCCCTGTGTGTGCTTGGTTTTAGCTGGGCGTGTTCTTTTCCTTGGCTCCTGCGCTGAGGTTATCCACACACCTGCATCTCATCACAATCACCTGCCTGCAGAAAATCAACCCTGAGTATCAATATGGTACACGTCACGGCCAAACTAGTTTCCTAGAGAGAGCGATCCTAATTGTGTATTTTTTTCCCTCCACATATAGCCCTTGTTTGTTTTTCCTTGTTCCCCAGGATTTTGGACACCCCTGCCCACCTGCCTGCCTCGCTCTGGTCTGCTCTCAACATAGCCACTAGCTGCCTGGATTGGATTCACTTCTCTGGCCCCCAACACTCCGAAGAGGATTGTACATTCCATCTCTGTAATAAAACTCACTTTTGAAACACATATTTTTAAACAGTGACCTGTAATTAGGGAAAGCACAGAAAATGTTTTATGTAACACCAGCTTGATGATGGGGTTTAAGTAAATTGTCTAGACAACTATTAGATAGAGATTCATGTTCCCACAGGATGAATATTAATAACTTTGGTGATACTCTCATTTGTCCTCCAGCGTCATCATCGGGTCAAAATGTCACTCAAAAACTTCCAACCTCTTACTAGAAAACGTACAGTGGAATGTCGCTCACTGCAAAAACTAAACTCTTAGTAAGATTAATTATGTTAATTGAAGGCAAAATATACTTGTTTTTGGTGTATTTCTTCTTACCAGGTGGCATTTGTTAGAGATTTTCACTTCACTTCAAGTTTATTTGGCTTTAAGTGAAATATTCTTGTTCTGTTGGCAGATAATTTTAAGTAAAATTTCCCCCATTTTAATGCTTTTTTCCCTTGTTTTTGAGAGCTCAGTTTTTGCAATGCTCAAAGTCCCATTTGTGAATCCATCTACTGACTTTATGAAGAGGCAATTGTCTGATATCACAACAATTGCAGCACTCATGGAAGCGTATATTGGAAATGGTAAACCAACTAAAAGGCAACATAGTATATTTGCCTGTTTTTAAATTAATAATACATCCTACAGTAAAACCTGTTCTGTATGTAAAAGTATTTTAACATGTCACCAATGTTATAAAGGTGGGAAAAATTGTCACTTGTCGTCATTAAAACGGCTATATTAATTAACACCAAGGGCACTGCTGAGGGTTCAATTGTGTATACATGTGACAAATATACATACAAATGTCAGTTTGTCAGGGTCAGCAATGTGTTTTGTTCACATATGGCATCTTGCACCTGAAATGCTTTGAGGTCGCAAGTCAGAAATTTACACTAGGGTATTCCAATCTCCAACTGTGACTGGAACACAGAAGTAATCAACACTTATTTCAGTTTTGTCAGTGTGGTGGGTCAGTCAAAATTACTTTATCCAGACCAAGGTTATTATAGTTTCAGATTTTCCATTAGTTTTTATTTTAATTTCGTTTTGACTTTTTGCTTTAAATTTCAGTTTAGTTTTAATTACTTTTTAACATGGGTTTGCTAGTTTAGTTTCTTTTTTGAAAATGCTTAGTTTTAGTCTTTGTCGCTGCAGGATGCCGAGCTCAGTCCAGTTTAGTTTTTTCACAAAACATTAAAAACAAGTACAATCATTAGAAATAATGCAGATTTGTGAAAAGGAACCCCCTTTTTAAGCTATCTGAAGCTTGTGCACAGGGGCCCAAACACTAAGTGCTAACACACTGTCTAAATAAATACTACAAATAAATGAAGCAAATGCAATCTACAGTATCATATCTATGTTACATACAGAAACCCTAAAAGCAAAATACCCTAATCCTCCTACCCAATGGTCCCAAGAAATTCATTACATCAGTCTCTAGCTCTATCATTCTTAGTTAAATAGGTGAAATACAATTGATGGACAGCTAAGAAATTGGATTGGAAAAGATTGTGGCTCCAACGGGGCCTACAATAACAGGTCCTTAACACCCCGAAGGCAAGTACGACTGGAAAGCAGTTATATTCAAATCTAAACCTTAAAAAAAAAAACTACGTATTAAAACAAAGAGACAGGTTGGCTGAGATATCAACGAGCCCATAAAACACATACTGGCTGACATCCAGTAAATATAATGACCAGCAGACACGTTAACTCAGCGCAAGGGGAGCTCACAATCAATGTACATGGGGCAAGTTCATCACACAGGCAGGATGAGCACTAAGACAGAACAAAACAAGGAAAAGAAAACCACCAAGACAGCGGCTCACTACCTGCAACACAACTCTATACAGTTGTTGCATTCCTATTATTTTGTACACGTATGTATAAAAGATAACAGAAAACATTTTCAACCAGCAGCTACGCAGCCGATCACTACCTGAGTAAGTTAGCCATTACTTAACAGTAATTCTGTGGTATTTCACTCAAATTCTCTTGTTGACTACCATGACTGCTGTGATCCTTTTTGTCGAGTCAGTCAGTGCATAACTGTAAAAAGCACTAAAACATTTTCAAACACCTCCAATATGTCACTGAGTTGAGTCCCATGACAGTCCTGATGTGACCCAGCACTAAGCCCTCCACTAGAGGATGGCACTCATTTAACCTGTTAAGGAAATCAGTCAGCTTTAGGTAAAGTCAGATCTTCTGGAGAGCTGTTAGCAGTGCATGCTGGGAGCTGAGCAGACAAACAGGCAGTGGGGTGTTTGCTTGTGTTCTGCAGTGGAGGGAAGTGTGGCATTTTGATTTGATTGGGGATTAAAGGTCATGAGGAAGTATTTAAACGCTCCTGCTCAACTTTGGGCTAATCATTCCCCCACAGCTGTGACTTGGAAGAGTCGGCAGCGCTCTCAGATCACCGTTGTCACAGTGTGTTGTCTCCCACTTTGCGGTGACAGAGCCATACCCACCCAGCCAGTAATCCCCTGCAGCAAAGTTGGAGTAAGCTGACGGCATGGAAAAAGATAAATACGGATTTTCATTTTTTACCCTGTAATGAAAAATTGCATGGCACTTCCTCTCCCCGCTGCATTTATCTCTAATACAGTTTTCGATATTGCTGTAATTTACCACAATGCACAAAAACTTTTCAGCTTGGGTTTTTAACAGCCCAAACAACTGAAACTTATTTAAGATAATTATTTCTTACTTCCAGACTAATCATACAGACATTTAACATCTGCTAAGCTTACCAGCTATTTCACCAGCGCCAGGCTGAGTAAGTAACACATCTATACGCAGAAGAAACTTCTCCCACTTAGAGAAGAGAGATTGAGGACGTCAGTGACAAATGTCTTGCATTAACTTTGTTGTTTATTTTCCCCCCGGAAGATGTGAAATAACCCTATTAAATCAAGTAGTCACTTGGCCATTAATCTCAATGCAGCTGACTAGTCCCTCAAAGCAAATGGGGTTTAGAATTTGCATGAGGCAAGTTTACCCACAAAGCTTTGCCTAAGAGGATTGCTGTTCAGACAGAGAGCTTATTGTCACACTTGTTCATAGACATGGATTAACGATACCAGGCCCAAAGAACTCCACTAACTGTGGCAGCAACGCACAAGTTCCCCTTCACTGGCTCAGATCTCTGTTTCAGAGGGACAGAGATTCAGACAATCTGAAGCATGCATGGCAAAATACCTCATATTTTTTAATTTAAACAAACACTTGTCCAGTTCCAGTTTGTTAAGCATCCACCAAAATAACGCCCTCAAGCATATAATGCTCGTTAAAGCTATAACAGTACAGAGAAAGCCAAATATGATTATTGTTTTTACATTCCTGTTTGAAATTATTCCCTAAAACTTACCTTCCTGCTTTTTAAATATGCTTCTCTTTCAATATTTATTTTTTTGTCATAACATCACAGAGTTGCAGAGCTCCTGAATTCCCGCTCTGTGTTGTCAACTTAGCTTTTTACATCATTTGAATAAGCCTCTTTCAGTGTGAGCATGTGTGCTGTGTTTCATAGTGACTAAAGCAGCTTTGGAGTCTAAATATAGCATGTATCCACTGCATTAATTCATTAATATTTATCAGAGGCGGGAAAAAAGGTGCTTGAAATATGGCATATATCTGTGTTTAAAATTCAGTAAGAAAACAACGAAAAGAAAAAAAAAATGTTGTACTCAACTTCTGACACAGTTTGATCAACACAAACACACACTGCACCTCCAGGACAGCACAAATCCTTCAATATCCTTTTGGAGAAAAAAAAAACACTATCTTGTCTGCCACTGCCCACATTGTGTTACTGATCCACAGTGTGAATTACAATAGCAATCTGAGCACTGACTCTCACTTGTATGATAGCTGCTCAAGAGTGACAACAGGCTGTTAAGCTACATCAAAACTGCAGTTTATCCCCTTGGGTAAAGTGGCGTGTCAGGGATGTGTAGCACATCATAGCCACAGTGTAATCCAACTCTGCAGTTAATATACAGATAGAGTTGTGAGGTGACAGCATTTGAAGGCAGAGAGCTAAGGAACAACTTTTGTGTCTCACTTTGCTGTAGGTGAAGAAGAGCTTTGAGATGGAGAGCACCTACTGTAGAGACGACACGTAACAGATTGTTAAATCTGCTTCTGAGACCATGGGACAGTTACACTTTGAACCCTGGGCTGTTGTATGGAATAGTTACTACTAGGTGTGGGAATCACCAGAGGCCCCACGATACAATATTATCAAGATACGATATTTTACAATATATGAAATTTATTACCTTTTTTCCAATTTCAAATTGTGTCCCCAAAGAAAAAACGAGGACTGAAAAATCAACTGACCTTATTATTATAGTACCAAAAGTAAAATTCTCATGTACAATTTATAAAAGATCGATATTTGGCGTCCGTGTATCGATACGATATTGTCATATAAAATATCGCGATACTATGCTGTATCTAGTTACTACATGTCTTAACTTTAGGATCTTATCTAATCTTTAGGATAAGTTGTGTCACTTGGAAATGTCATCAAATGGCATGTGAGGGGTACTATACATGTTTGGGCACAGGTTTTATGAACAAACGTTTTAGAGAGTTTTACCTCTTGACTTTTAGTTTTTACCTGTTTTTCTACCAGTTTTCAACACACCAAAAATGTCTGTATACATTATGATGCCCTCCTCCCGAATCCCATTCTGAAACGTGTCAAAAACAAACAAAAAACTCATGATTTTGTCCCTGTTATTGTTTGTTTTTTTTTGTTTTTTTACCTCTGTTTGGAATAAACTAGCTCAAAATGTGGCTTCGGTTATACAAAAAAAAGCATTTTGTTGCCACGAAGCCCTGTTATTTTAAGTCTATGTGTGTTTACATTTTGGCAAACCTGCACAATAAAAACTCATGCCATGTTTTGTATTAACTCTGGTGAAATAAGAATCTCTTATCTGTTTAAACCCATGTTCTTGACCAGTTAATCACCTTAAGAAACTATCGCCTTTCAGAGCAAAA